CTTAGCTGTTTGGGGGTGAATAATATTTGAGTGCAGCGGCTGGGTGTTCACCAGGGAAGTAACAAAGATTACTTTAGGATGGGCAACTTTGGAGACAGTAACAACTACCTGATCCAAACGGCAAATCGCCTCGACAAGATTATGGAACATGTAAGTTTTTTGGCGGAAGACGGTGAAGAATAAAAGAAAAATAAAGAAAGCGACGGAATAGAAGGGATGTGAAGAGTTGAGAACAGAGAATACCTGAAAGAGCTTTTAAGAGAATTTTAAAGATAATCTTTATTGAGTTTTTAATAATTTCTTTTTGCCTTCTAATCTTCAAATTCTCTTATTTATATTGACATAAATAGTTATGAAAAATATGTTTAATTGTGAGAGAATATGCTTGTCATGAGAGAACAGTTAAAGAACAACTTATGAAATATTAAAAAAATAATCATGTAGTTGAGTGGTAGGCGTAAGTTTTGGATAGTAAAATAACGACATTTGATAGTGAGTCGTATGTATTCCTCAAAAATCAAAAAGAAAAAAAAGTAACACACGTATATTTCGAATAAAGATAAATAAGAAGTCTTTTTAATTATTTTTATATTTAAGTCATCGAACCAAACTTTTTAAAACATCTCAAATATGAAAGTAATTACTAAACTTAGTCACTTATTTTGAATTACTTGTACTTTTTCGTATAAATAGTTGCTCTATGCTTGTTCCTAGACATTTCCGTGCTCGAAATGATATAGAAAACTTTCATACATGGAACAACCAGAAGAGCTTCTGTGTTTAGAACGTCCTTGACTGCTTCTATATTTAAAACATCGTTAAATGTTTCTACGCTTGAAATGCTTCTAAGTGTTTCCACGTTCGAAACGTTCTTGATTTAATTTTTTCTATAATATAATATTCTAAAAATAATAATTAACCAAAATTTATCATTTACAACTTCGAATAGTTCCAATTAGTGTTGGTTAATAAAGAAGACATGCATTCTCTTTGCTTCAGAAGTGAACTAGGCCTTTGCCTTCTGTTAAGAGCAACAAGCAGCGAAGATATATATTGGCTTGAATAATTTTCAGTTTGCACAAGATTTTACTAGATTTGGATCTTGTTAATTGCATTTTCTGGATATG